ACCTTAGATCTTACCGGAAAAGCGGAAATGGAAAGCTAGCCAGAAGATGATAGTATTTGAAGACTTCTCTCTTGACCCAATAGTTTTGGAGGTAATCCTCTGGTCATATACGATGGGTACAAATTCAGATTTTTATGTAATTTTTATTCTGGCCATGTTAAGCATTCAATTTTTAATTCAAAAATTTCTTTTGCGTCTTACATGTGTATAAGGTTGAGAACACAGAAATGATAAGCGTAATGCTTATGGGACCGTGGACCCACTTCTTCGTCCATTAAAACGCAGCGTGGGAACACTGGACGATTTACTGCAATTCCTCTGCATCTCTGATCAGCAATCTGGAAGCGGGTTTTTTTAATAATCGTATATTTCAATTCTATCATTGTTGTCATTTCTCTATGACATAGGAACATTTTGTTGTTGTAATTAAGAAAATAACAGCAATCAAGCAACTGAAGTGGTACAATAATACAGTGCTTCCCCACGCTGGGGTTAGAGATGCAAAGGTGGTAGGTCCACGGTCCCGAAAGTGTAGATTAAATTATTGTGTGGTTAGATGAAAGAAAAGTGGAGTAAAATGGTAGCACAGTACCTTGCAAGCCGATTTTCCTTGAAAACCCTCATTCATAAAAGTTTCTTCCAAATGACTCGGAATTAGTTTCTTATCACTTTATTCGGTCCGTATGACAGCTTTTTCCACTGCGCGGATCCCAACACTTCTAGCATTCTATTGGTCTCCTCGTGTTCATCTCTTGATCATAAACTTGTCCTCTTCAAGAATGTAGTGAAATACTGCTTGAGTGCTGTGTCAACATTCTCCACGATACAACGAACGTTGCCTATTTCTTCCTAGGTGTAGATCGTCAACTTGTATCCCCAATTCCAAAAGGAAGTCGTAAAGAGGGCGAAGACGTCGAAACATTAGCACCGCATGAAATCTATTTGTCAATCTGTTGATTGTCGGGGCGAGTTTGGGTTCGGGGATCACCAGCGACAAGCAGCGCCGAGGTAGCCCGTTAGCCATAGGCCCTACACCCTCACCTGGAAATGGAACATAAAATTCGAAGTAAAAGTCATGAAAAAATGAATCATGGAAGAAATGATCGATGACAGAATGATTTTTTTTTCATATAAAAAGCAACTGAAAGAATACGAAGATGAACAAACGAACGAATGTTAGCTGCCGTGATCACTTGTTCGGCGTCGACGAGCAGCTGCTGTTCTTTTTCCATTTCCAACTGATGAAAATCTTCTCTGGCGATCTTCGATTTACTGAACAAGAAAAAGCTGTCAGTCAGCAACGGTGAATGACTGACAATTTAAGGGAATGCGACGAACTCTTGAGAACTCACCGTCGAGATATTTCTCGAATTTCAATTTCTAAAGTTTTTTGTGAATATCGGCATTTTCGACGACAGTCTCGGCTGCTAAATAGCATCCACTGGTTAGAAGGAGAAGAAAAAAGACTTCTTAAAAGCAAAGTGAAAGAAAAAAAAGTCAAAGTAAACGAGCTAGTAAGTTAAAAGGAAAAGGAAAGAAAGACGAAGAAGAACAAGGAGAAAAATATAAAGGGAAAGGGAAAAACTTTTAATCGCTCGGAAGACTAACTTCTGTCATCACTATTGATTTCTCACTTTATTTGACCCATATCAGAGCTTTTTTTCTTTTCCTAACAGCGCTCTCAATGCACTTAGCAATCGATTTGTATCGCCGCGTTCATTGTTTGGTTAGGATTACCGTTCTTTATGGTCGAGAACATTTATTGCAACCTTGAGGATAACCATGTTAGAGCATTCCGTAGGGCGCTCTATATTGATCGCCAGAGTGTCGGGGAAGGAGGAGGAGGGAGCGGGAGGGGGGAGCGGATGGGGATAGGGAAGAGGGGAGAGGGGACCAATCCTGGTCGAGCATCACTTGCCATTCGCCTACCGCTCTTACAACACGTTTTTCTGTTTCACATCAAAAACGATAAAAGAATAAAGCTCTCGGCGTTGGTCAATCCCTGAGAAATGCGCCATGCATTCGTCGCCAGTTCTCAACTTTCTCTAAGACAACTGAATACATATCTGGCCTTACAATGACTCACGGTGAACGCTCGATCTATTTAGTCAGTGCTGCTTATCCTCACAGACAAGTCTGCGACCAGCTGTACCAACTGGAGGACCCCAAAGAAGTGGATGGCTTGGCGAGCGATGAGCGCGAGATCGAACCATTGACCCTGTGTGCGACACAGAAACACCCTTACCAACCACTGCGTCACATGCGATAGTTTTTTTTACTAAGTAATGCGTAGATACCTCAGTGGGCAATAGTGCTTTGGCAAAAGGTTGTCTGTGAGTCTTGTTAGTTTCAAAATATCATCCATGACGGCCGGACTTACAGCTGTTTCTACCTCCAAACGTCAAGGAAACGATTTTTGAATTCACTTCTGAAATAGAGATTATAATTTAGGTTCTTGTCCATTGATAAGGCGTTGAATGAAAAACCGACCTTATTCGTTGAATGAAGAAATTTTTCATAGGAATGTCAGTAATTATTCAAAAGCTTGATACTCCGGATACAGCCCCACGTGGCCGGTTTTTCACAAAAAACGATATCATAAAGCTGTAAAATCCAGAATAAAATTATGTTACACACCGGCTGCACAATTTAACTGTTACTTCGCTGAAAGCTCGCAAAAGCATATAAACGCATAGAGAAAGTCTTTTAGTACCAGAGTCTTGCGCTTGACCGCAGAACTCCTTCCGAAGCAGAGAAAAATTCCTATCCCCTCCCGTCTCCCCTCCCGCTCTCCCTCCGCTCTCCCCTCCTCAGTAGGATTACCCTTCTTATGGTCGAGAACATTTATTGCAATCTGGAGGATAGCCATGCTAGAGCGTCCCGTAGAGCGTTCGATATTGATCGCCGAAGAGTGTTGAGGAAGGAGGAGGGGGAAGCGGGACGGGAGAGGAAGGACAACAATAATAGAATTGGAATTGTACGATAATATATTCACTGCGTTCCCACATTGCAGAGGAGATCAGAGACGAGAGGAAGTGGAGCAGATTGTCCAGCGCTGCCATGCTGGGCTTAGAGTAGCGAGTAGTTGGGTCCACGGTCCCATAAGGGTTAGGCTTTTCAGTTCTGTGTTCTTAACCATATAAATGTGTAAGACGCAAAAAAATTTATAGAATAAAAATCGCGCTTGTTCGAAGCGCCAATCGATTAGCCTCTAAACGAGAAACCGAATGTATAAGTCTCAATCTTATTTCCCCTGCTACACTGCAGAGAAAAAAACATAGTGTTGGAATCTTTAAATCCTACACTATCGAATGATTACTAATAGTGTGAAGAAAAAGCTCTATTTCGCGAGAAAAATGCGCGTTTGGAACGCAAGAATTTCCTCCTGTAACAACGTCAAATGAGAGGCTTTTTCGAGAACCGACCACTTGGGGCTGTAGCCAAAGATATAAGCCTTTTAATGATTACTAATATTCCTATGAAAAATTTCTGTCCAGCGAAGAAGATCGGTCTTTCATCTGTCGCCTTATAATGGACAAGTATCATGATCTCTCGACAAAGTTTTTACTTTTTTGAGATTCTGTAGGCGAATTGTATTAACTTACGAAGAAAACGACTCTCAACGACCAGCAGTGCCGAAAGAGAACACAATAGAAAGAAGAAAAAAAGAGAAAATGGGACAGGACGGAAGAGAAAGAATGATCTGAAGAAGGAAAGGAGAGGAGAATAGAAAGGAAAAAAGAAAAAAGAAGAAAAGAAAGAAAAGAGGAAAGAGAAAGTGAATGATAGAGGCAAGATTAACAATAATTAGAGCGACTTGAGGATTAAACGAGTCTTTACGCACCGTTGGCAGCGAGAACTCTCTTCTTCCTGAATTCCACGCACAGCTGTCTGACGATGTTATCGGCCATACCCTAAATAGATCTCTGGATTTCTTCAAATGAATAAAGATGGAACCGCGCGAAGGATCGAACCATCAACCGTCATCTATCATCGATCATGTGTGTCGCGCTCAGATACCTCTAACCACTGAGCCACACGTGCTCATTTATAAAACAAATTAAAAACTTGAAAATCTAAAATAGAAAGAAAATTCAAAAAATTGAAACAAAGATGTCAAAAGTAAGATAGTCAAGGAAGTTATTCAGGAATTCATGAAAACCCTGCGAGTGCTGATTTGGCGGAAAAAATCGTTTTCAAAAATTCTCCCCTACATTCGTACACATGCACGCCTACTATATCCCAGATGCCGTGGCCTTGTAAGCCTTTGGTCACGAGTAACTTGATGGATCGTGATAGTGATTTTACTAGATTTAACTAGAGAACACCTTCATTATCAACATATCGACTGAAGAGCGCGTGTGGTGCAATGCTGAGAGATGCTTTGCGTGGCGCATAAGGTTGATAGTTCGATCTCGTAATCATGCAGCAGGCCATCCATACCTTCGGCTCGATAAACTAATACACCAGACTTTTTCTGGGAGCATAAGCAAACTGACTGATGCAGTAGAGGGCCACGCGAGTTTTTGTGAAGGCTAGTATGCATCCAATCACCTGGAAACGAAGCTGAAAATTGAAGACGAATGCAGGAGCATCCCTCAGGGACTGATCTTGCTGAAAGATTTACACTTATGGGGCTCTTGATTTCATTCCTGATTGAGTAATGGAGGACGTTTTGGTTGACTGAGTTGTAGGCAACTTAATCTTTCCAAACTCTAAACGCCGAGATAGTCAGTTGTCCAAAATAAGGTTTATCATGAGAATCTCGCGTATGGCTCAGAAAGAGGATCTAAGATAACCTCAGATTTTCTGCTGTCTATAGAACTTGTGATGTGGCAACGAAATCTTTACGGCTCTGAACAGGAGCAACCAAAACTTGAGTCCTTACCCTCTCAACGATTCATCGTAATGCTCAAAATTTTTCTCTTTTTACTGCCTTTTCCACATTATTATGTTGTTTCATTCACACCTGTGAGAATTGAGTGGAGAGCAAAAATACGACCCTCAGACAGAAGTCGAACCCTGCTTCATCTATACCGGAGACGTGTGCTACCACTACACCACCGAGGTACATTAGCGCTACCACTCTTTCTTCAATATCTCTATGGCAGCTATCGGCCATCAACCTTTAACCAGTTTGGTCGGATATGTGATTTCGCTTTATAACTCCAGTTAGGCTTACAGACATTGTGATATTAATTCTCGAGATGCTGATAGCTATAATAAAGACATCTATTATAGAGTATATATGTTTTCAATGCTTGTCAGCTCAATTGGATCTAATGACGATATGTGCTTACCAGCTCGAACGCGTTGACGGTTAGTTGCTGACAGATTCGATGCCGTATATCGAAAAAAGGTGGTAGCAAAACGTAACTACGGTGTTTTAGTGGAAGCACGGGCCCCTATACGGATGAAACGCGAGTTCAGCTCCCCGTCTGAGGAAGGTTTTTTGCTTACCATTTAATTATCTTCTTAATGTCTTTTCACCATCTACAATTTCTTCACCTGGATAAGCAGACTAGGTGAAATATCAACTGAGCGGTTTTATGAGAACAAAGGTAAACTAGCATACCATTTAATCCTTTTCCCTGACCATTCGAGCACTGAGCAGTCTAGGTATCCCTTTGTGAACGGCGATTTCGCGATTTTCACAAGCGAGGCACATTTTTGTCTTTAAATAGAATTATTCTTTATTTGGAGAGGTAACACAGGTTCCTTGTGCCACCTGATAAAACATAAATTTCTTTACACACTCGTATACTTTTTGTGCTCATATACTCTTTATGTTGCGAAGAAACTCCAAGTGTGTAACGTAATCTTCTTTCCACTCCTGCAATGCACTCTCAAGACCCGTTCTGAATTAAATACAGCATTGAAGTTGTCAAATCCTGTTGCTATCGAATGGGTTCTAGTGTAGTCTGATATAAAAGGATCCTCAGCCCTTAGCCGAGCAACAAGCAAATTGAATCCGAATTATAAACTTACTTTTGCCTCCACAGTACACAAAGAAAGTTTATCCCAAAGCCAAATAAAGTGTTGAAATTGCTCAATTTGACCTTTCAAATGACCAATCGAAATCTGGATGGAAAGTTTTTTTCAGCAAAAGAGACCTCGAAAAAAATTTGGAGGTTGTAATGACACTTGTCGTCCGTGAAGAGATAAATGATCTATGACCTGACGAATCGAGAAGAGTACATAACACATTGAAATACCGCTTGCAAAAGTCTCAAAAGTTAAGCTAAGATTGATAACGTGCCCATTAACTCACTGGCCACCGTGATCACCGTCCTCCGAAGGCCTCTGGGTCTCCCTGATTGCGCTTGCTCGCTCTTAGAAATGGTCTCAAACTTCTCATTAGTGCAACAAATCTCTTGAAAAAACCTTACGTAGGATCGCATGCAATAGCACGAGCTTCCATATTGTATTTTTTGGACTAATTTTTGAGCACGACCGCGAAGAAGAAAATTTAGCTCGAACCTCACAGCAGCCTGAAAAAGTGGCATACGACAGGTCGAAGAATTAGTGAAATCCAGATTTATCAGAATGCAGGAGGACAGTTTCTAGTAACTTCTAATCATATAGATGTTCAAATAAGGAAAAGCTCTTCGATCAAGCTACCTGCATCGCCCATTGTCTAAAAAAGATTTATTAGTCAATACAGCAAATTGAACCGGGAATGGGTCAGTGTGGTAAACGTGGCAGGTTTAACAATATCAGTTATTTTTCGACTTAAATTTCAACTACCAACGAGCTATGTCAAATCTTCTACATATCAAAACAGATAATATGACGTCTACTGATAATCATCTTAGATCTACTAACCTCTCAAAGTTCAAGACTAGACTCATGATCAGCTGTGTAGACAGGTCAACGGTCACAACTGAATCTTCTCAAGCAATCAGTCAAGCTTCAAATGATCCCTTATGAACGTAATTTATAGCTATTATTAGTTGCAATAACACTGCTTTTGAGTAAACATTTGGTACAAGCTTCTTTGATGCATTCTCATCAAACTGTTTGTTCGTGACTTCTATGCTCTGAATATTCTTTTCCATAGGTTTTTCGCCTGTAACCCTTTGTGCTCACACTACTGTCGACTGTGAGGGTTGCATTTTTCCCATAGTGCAGTGCCTGATCGGGCAGAGTCTTTGTCATCGGTCGGTATACAGGTGAGTCAAGGGTTGGGAGTTCTATACCGTGTATTTGTGTGTTCCATTATCCGCCCAACATCATTTCTGTCTGCTCAGCTATTATCTTCAGATTGCTTATAATGTATTGTTATTATTTATAATTAATCATAATCCAAACGTGAGTTGCTCTACGTGTCTACGTTGAAAGAAGTCCCTCGTGACAAACGTGCAAAACCGAGCATTTTACTCTGAGTTAGTAATTTCTGTATTGAAGTCTAGAGCAGAACTCTACCCTCCATTGCGCAACCCATACAGAATCCATCCACGAGAGCTTCAGGAAGCACGAAAAAGCTATAAACGTCCACAATTTTTCAACTCGACAAGTCATGGGTCTTTTGAAGAAGTGCCTTAACTGCTCAGTCTCTAGATAGTGTGGGTATCAATTTGCATAAATAAGGAGAGTGTCAGTGGAACAGTTATTGGGCCCAAGCCTTGCTGTACCTCTTCAAGTCTGAAGCTAAAGTCCTAGTAATCGACCTTCGGTCTTTGATCAACTGCAAATAAAAGATGATTGTATTGTTATCTGCTCTACACAGGAGCACACGGATAAATGCCTTGAGACGGGTAACATAGCTGGACGAGGCGTACTCATACACGGTCAACCAGGGACGGGCAAAACCGCTATAGCTATGGGTATCGCCAAGGCTCTCGGTCAGGACACTCCTTTTGTCTCAGTGTCGGCATCGGAAATCTTCTCAGTTGAGATGAGTAAGATGAAGCTCATACCCAGGTTTTTTCGCAAAGCTATAGGAGTTGGCATCAAAGAAGAGACAGAGGTGATCTTGTTTGTGTTGGTGATCCTTTTTTATTCCTCTCAACATACCCTTTAACATGTGCCCTGATCCCTTCCTGATTATAGGTTCTCGAAGGTGAAGTCGTTTCGATTGAAATGGACAGACCGGCTAGTGGAATGGGCCAAAGGTGCTTTTGATAACTTCGTCTGGACGAAATTGTGTATTTCTCTAACATGAACTGAAATCTTCAGGTTGGGAAGTTATCGCTGGAAACAACAAATATGGGAACAATTTACGACCTTGGAAGCAAGATGGTTGGACAATGTATTAAGCTACGCGTATGCGCTGGCGATGTAATTCACATCGACAAAGGCTCGGTGACAAATCCTCTATTTATTTCGAACGTTTTTTGTTAGAAGAATTTGTTTTCAATATATGAATAGAGTACGAACATGGCTAGGATCTACTGTATCGTTCTTATGACATCTACATCTCACCAAATATTCGCCTCATAGGGCAAGATCTTCTATGTCTCAATTTCGATGTACTTAGTCGTTGTATAAGTTATAGCACTGGAGTATAAACACCAAATTCATTAACTAGAAGTGGTTAAAATTGCGTGATTTTGGCACCGTTCAATGCGCATTTTCTCACGAGCTCTTTTTTCCATAAAACTTGCCTATACTTGCTATAAGATAGATAGTTGCTATGTTGTGGGGACAGATACTCTTGCTGCTCATGCACGAATGGCCCGTAGGGGAATATGCTAGTCAAGCGAGGCGTGAGATCAATAGAGCTTCCTGTGGACGGCGGGACTGATTATCCCCACTATTCTGTCCAACTTTGAACTTTGCGAACCACTTACTAGCCGTCTTTTCTGCGATCGTATCATCGCCCAAGCTCTATTAATCTTGCGCGCCTCCCCTTTGCGCAGTTCGTATATGAGTAGATAGCGAATTTGTTCCTAAGACAGTTCTATCTTGATCAATTGAAGTGCTCAATTGAACGATGCTAGAATTATGCAATTTCGATCACTTTGCTTAACAAATTTGGTGTTTATTGCTCTAGTGCCAAAATTTATTGAGCGACCTAAAACATACAAGTGGATTGGCGTGGTAGCGCAGCGGCTACTGATGCAGTACAAAAAGCGACCTATAAAGCTACGTGCTGATTCCCTTTCCAACTCAGTACTCTTTCGCCATAAATCAGTTGAATGCCTAGGAATGGCCTAGCTCGCCTAATTCCAGGATTACAGTGAGTCCAGGCGTGCATTCTACGTCATTTATTAAGGCGAGGAAGTCTTCAAGCAACAGCAGAGGAAACATATGGATTTTGGCCATTCGAGCTAAATACAAGTTCTTTGATCTACATAGTAAATGTGATGACTGGTCGTGTCAAATAAAGTAAAAAATTCTAAACTAAAAACGAGAGACTCAGGAGGATTTGAATTGCTCAAAGCGACCAGATGCTGTGGGTTCAAGTTACTTCTCGAAGAGTATCGTTGGTGGACTTTGTAGGGTTGTTACCTGAAGTTCAAAATAGGATGAAGTGTCAACTGCGTAGTTGAACTCCGGAAAATCCCAGGACCATATGGTACCTGTCGTACGAAGCTGCGCGACGTCTAATCCCACTCGGCTACTGTAATGGGGGGGCGTCTCTTGGGAAAGCAGGCGCAGACAGCCAGACATGCATGCACAGACAGGCCGATGCTGCCAGCCTGCAACTATCGCGCAAGCGACTGAGCGATGTCGCCTGCCTATCAACGGTAGTCCTCAAGGGATGTTAAGGCTAAGGGGATAACAACGGGTTTTCGAATCATTTAAATGTCAAGGAAACGCGAACAATTCCTATGTTGCTTACTCTTTTGTAGAATTCGACGAAAGTTGTCCGTAACCCAATACTATTTTCGTCGTCGTCGTGCGACCTACTTCTCCACATTCTCTGTCAGGCGCACCAAAGATTTCTCATCTTTTTGTTTCGAGTGTTTCTTCAGATCTCGCTCGATTTCAATATGCCTTAATTACTTTTCTCGGTGATTTTACACTTGACGGCCCTTATAAGACGTTCATGGTCGACTCCTTTATGTAAGGGGTAGATCCATGAGAAACTGACTGAACGAAGAGACACCGTGCAACTGATCAGG